AGTCCTTCTTTTCATTCAACTAGACATATCCAATTCCTGCCACCATTCTTCATGTTTTAGCCTCCAGTCCCCTAAGCATCTTTGTTGTTCTTCTCTGCAGTCTTTCTACAATCTCAGCTAAATGCAATCACGTTGTCCGCCATAGCTTTTTTCCTCTTTTAAGAAATTTCTTGGAAACAGAAGGCAAAGGCATCAATTTAAAAATATGACGTCAAGGATTAATATGCATCCACCTGCAAAGTTATGTCAAGCTGCCAAGTGTAGAGAATTATATTGATTTATGTACACTGTAAAGGAAATGCATTCGACTTTTTAAAATGGAAAATGACTAGGGGGTGGGAATGGGGTAGTATTTAAAGGTCTTGCATGAAATGACAATACATGATTACAAATAATATGCAATTTTAAGATGAGCAAGAAAAGAGTTATTGTGATAACTCAAATATAGTGGCCAATTTTATAGGGTGATTTGACTATTACTTTGCTGGCTTCATCCACAGAAAACCTTTTAAAATAAGCTTGGCATCCAATGTACTTGGCTGATCTTGAGCACAAAGGTAGGGTAGAGAAGAATTATTTTGCTGAAACGAAAAAAAGATACACATATGCCAGATGTATTTCTAATAGAAGATCAGCTACAAAGAAACTTGAATGGATTTACACCACCACCCCTACTTTTTATTACCAAGATTAATACTTCAGGATCTGAAACGTTTTTTTTAATAACGCAATAGGCTCAGTTCGGAGTTTTGAATTGAAGGTGATTCAACTGAATCTCTGAATTGAATGTCTAAATCAGATCGTTGGTTCAGATCAAATTATTCAATTGTTCCCAAATCAGTCTGTCAATTTGATGGCCTTTTGCCCATGTACCATAAGTCTTTCTTTTAAACTGAAGCAACTTTCGGATCCCCATTTCCAGTCAAATGGGGATTTAACTTGGCAATCTGAATCAAATTAATATGGAGAGCGAAACTTAATGAGCACTATGAATCGGATCATTCTGTCAATTCAAATCCACCTATAGAATCCTATTTAGTGATAATAGATGATAAGCAGCCTTCAAAGTTCATTTTTAAAATTTTGTTTCAAAGGCTATTACATCTTCTTGCCATTCCATTATGCAGCTTTCCATGTCTTGTTTATTTGCTGTGTGAAGAACATTTCCTTTTGTTTCAAAAATATTATTACTCCACTAGAATAATATTGTTCATTCTCCACCAAGTCTTCCCCCAATTGCATATGGATTAATTATATCCAAATTGCTGTCCCAAAAAATAAACAAGAGTAAATCTGGCATTCTGTATAAAATTAATTTTTAATAAAATGACTGACGTAGATTAACGAGACATTTTCCACCCCCACCCCGTAAAAATGGCAAATCTTGTGGACTCTTAGTCCCTAATTTCAGAATCCAGCAAGTTACAAAATATTTGGCTAGCATGTACAGCTAAAATGTAGCGGAATAAAATATGCTAATTATCCATATATTTAAGGTTTAATGCCAGAAGAGATACTGGGAAAAGCAAGAGGCGCTGAATGCAGGAATGAGATACAGTGAATCGTTTTTTAAAAATAAAAATAAGATATTGGTATCAAATTTATTTCTGCATTCAGAACTAGATTACAGGCTGTCCTCGACTTACAACAATTCATTTAGTGTCCGTTTGAAGGTATAATGGCACTGAAAAAAGTGATTTATGACCATTTTTCACACACGTATTTACTAAGGATTCTTAGGAAACAACAACTGGCTGAGAGTCTACTGACTACCTTCTATCGGAATTCAATTGAGAGTATATTATCCTACTGTCTCTGTGTATGGTTCTCGAGCTGCACAGTGGCAGAGAAAAAGGCAATTCAGAGGGTGATTAAGATGGCCCAAAACATCATTGGCTGCTCACTCCCCTCTTTGGAAGAACTGTATAGGAATAGATGTAAGAGGAAGATATTTAATATATTGAATGACTCCTCTCATCCGGGACATCAGCTCTTTGAACTATTACCATCGAGAAGGAGATTCAGGGTATTAAGAATAAGGACGACTAGATTTAAGAACAGTTTTTATCCAAGTGCAGTTTTGAGTTTGAATGCAGGGTCATAAGATTTTTGTGGAATTTAATGGCTGAGAGTAATGGGGTATTTACATTTTTAAATTGTATAGAGATTATTGTATGGTCTGTTGTGTTTAATTTTATTTTTCTTTCAATGGTGTTGTCCAGTTTTACTTGTGGAAGAGCACCTCATTTCGTTGCATCCGCTTGCGAGTGTAATGACAAATAAATTCTTATGTCTTATGACTGTTGCGGCATCCCCACAGTCACGTATTTATATTCGGATGCTTGACCACTGGTTCATATTTATGACGGTTGCTGTGTCTCAAGGTTATGTGATCTCCTTTTGTGACTTTCTGAGAAGCAAAGTCAATGAGGAAAGCCAGGTTCACTTAACAACTAGGCTACTAATTTCACAACTGCGGTGATTCACTTAACAAAAGTGGCAAGAAAAGTCATAAAATGGGGTGAAACTTGCTTAACAAATTTCTCACTTAGCAACATAAATCCTGGGCTTAACTGTGGTCGTAAGTCGAGGACTACCTGTACTTTTTCAGAGGCAATGATTTATTTATTTATCTCACTTATTAATCAATTGTATAGGGCTGCCTATCTCACCAAAACAGCAACTCTGAACGGTGCACGACGAGATAAAATAACTATTTGCTACTATTCTCATGAAAAGCATCTTCTTTAACATTCTTCTTTGCTGAAATTCATTGAACCATTTGCCTTTTGATCGTTTGCTCAAGAAGAACTGAGCTACAAAATGCACTGGGCGGCAATAAATTGTAATGTATATAAATGACTGGTAGCAGAAGTTTCTTATCAGCTACTTCTCTATAGAAAGAAATTTCTTTAATCTCCCAAGAACTCCACAATTTCCAGGCTGTTTTACTGAAGGTAGCATTATTCAGCATTAGGACCAGGCATTACTATTTTCTCTTGGGAATTAATTTACTTTTTACCGTACCAATTGACTAATTAAATTAAGTGGGCCCGTGCAGTGGACAACTGTAAGCAAGACAACTGTAGTACGTAGTGAGTACTGTAGTACTCAGACAAGGTGTTGGAATGCCTTTGTGGATCTCAGCACAAGAAGCACTTTATAGAAAAGACTCAGCCAAGAGAAACGGTTGACTTATCGTAAGTTGTCTGAACAAGAACATAAAGAATATAAGATGAAGTCTAAATATCAACTGATTGCAGAGGGGTTTAGTTTCCAATGATTTTCTTATATACAACTGAGAAAAAGATTTTAATTAGACAAAAGAACATTAGGACCTGAACAATACAAGATAGAATTTGAGATGGAATTATATGCAAATGATGAACCTATAATTGTTTAAATATACAATTTTTACTTCTACTGAAATTTGAAACAGAATAACAAGTTAAAGGTGCATGATAAAATGGGCTAAGAACTTTGGTTACAATATACAGATGGATCAATGGGAAGATACAGCAATAGCACTTAGATTTATATACCACTTCATGGTGCTTTACGGAGCTCTCTTAGTGGTTTACAGAGTTGGCATATTGACCTCAGCAATCTGGGTCCTCACTTTACCGACCTCAGAAAGATGTAGGGCTGCGTCAACCTTGAGCTGGTGAGAATCAAATTGCTGGCAGTCGGCAGAATTAGCCTGCAATACTGCATGCTAACCATTGTGCCATCATGCCTCCTATGCAGCTAAAAGGCCTGAAATTCACATTATGTTATAATTTAAAAGAGAATTTCTACAAAATGATATACCTTTGGTGTCTATGATACCAGAAAAATGTTGTAGAATCTATAAAGTTATTTCAAATTTATGCTGGAAATGCAGAAAACACAAAGGGTCATTTTATCATGCTTATTAAAAACAATAGAAAATTTTGGATTCAAATACACACAGTGATAGAAACAATGTTAAAGATTTATTTTCAACTGAAACCAAAACTTTTCTTTCTGGGTCTAATGGATAGGCAACTAGAATAATAAGGACAATTAGGTTTTTGTAACTGGAGTGAAATTATTATATGCACAAAAATGAAAAATTCTAAAATACCCATAATGGAAGAATGATTAGAAAGTATAGACCATAAAGAAGAAAATTAAACAGTAAACTTAAGAGAGGAAGAGTAAAATATAAATGTTTTTAACTGCTATAAAGAACATCGGAACACACATGTATAACTTTTTCCCCCTTTCTTTCTCTTCTCTAATTCTTTATATCTCTCTTTTTCATTTCATTTCTGTTCTAGTTATTACTTTTCTTTTTGTTTGTTCTTTACATTTGTATTGTTTTTATTTTTCAAAAAGCTTCTTGAATCTAAATTAATTTAAAAGAAAAAATGTTGGATTCTTAAGAATAATATTTTACACGTTTTCTCCCAAACAACATTAAAAAATAAAGTCTCCTTCCAGTCAACCCCATCTTCAGGATATACTTATGCTGTGTTTTTGATAGTAGGTGATTTGTTGTTAAGTTATTCTAATTTAGAGTGCAATTATTCCCTGGAGATGTTCTATTAAAGTAGCCACCAGGGCTAGCTCTTACGTAGCTTTTGGACAAGGCTACCTGTGCAAGTTCCATCACAGGTAGCGTAGAAAGAAATAGACTTCTATTTCTTAGTCAATTAAAAGGGTTTATAGCACGATTTTAAGTTCTTGGCTGCATAAGTATGAGATGTATATCACCTTGACTTTTGAAAGGAAGGCTAAGGTAACTATTACCTGAATTCATTTTAGGATTCATAACTCACCATCCTGTGACAAACACAGTAGAAAAATACAAGAATACCTGTGTTGACTTTGTGCTCCCAGATAGTACTGGATTACAATCCCATAATCCCAGACTTCTAGAGATGATGAGATTTATAGGCAACAGTAACCGAAACTATATAAAAAAGGCCAACCAGTGAGCTCCTTTTGTGCAATTAAAAAAAATTCAATTGCAAATGTTACATTGAAGATGAGTAATACTTTTATTTCATTAAAATATAATGGAAACATATTTTGTAGAAGAGTTAGGTTTTTCAATAACTTATTAATATTTACAATTGCAAATGTTGCTTTACAGTTATTATACAAAAGATTCTGAAAAGCTTTAGCGATGAGGAAGATGTACCATATGCTTCCCAGCCAAGAGGGGGGAAACAGAATTAATTAATAGAATGTACTGATTTCCATTACATTATGGACATTAATCAACATTGCAAGCATTTGTTGGTTTAATACTGCCTTCACTGTCATTTCCCAATCCTTGTAAACTACAGCTTGGCATCAATAATTCACTGTAACCTAACTCTAAAATACAGAACAATTCCAGAACATCTTGACAAAGGAAGTGATGACTGAAACACCTGCAGATGGGCCTCTTGTAAATAATTCAATCACTATGTGGTTGAATGCTACCCTGTGAGCTCTCTCTCAGATCAATGTTAAAACAACAACACCCAGCAGTTTAAGCCCCGTTTTGGCTGTTGTATTTTCACGGGAGAATCAATTCTCTTTTCTCCATCCATGTCTCATTCGTGGCCTTAGCTCCATGGATTTTACTTCTGCCATACCTCTTTCATGGAGAATTGTATATTCTCTTCTTCGGGCTTATGGCCACCTGAAAGGAAGGTCTAAGAACGACAAGGATCACGCTTTGGGGAAGTGCCTGCATTCTTAACAAATGAGTACAGAAGTTCAATATAGGCTGCATGTCAATGTTTTGGTACTGTAGGCCATCAATCTCCTATGCCAGTGAAGGCGAACTCCGAGTGCCCAAAATGTGCACGTGCACATACCCAAAATGCAAGGATGTCCCACGTGCATGCACCCCCGGCCCCTGCACATGCGCGGCCAAGACCCAAAGGCCAGCTGGCAGGCGGGAAGAGCATGTGCATGCACGGTGGAGCTGAGCTGGGGCAATGGCACGCATGCCCACAGAAAGGGCTCTCCTTGCTACATGTGGCACTCATGCCATAGTTCGCCACCACGGTCCTATGCTATTATTACAGGAAAAGAAGTTCTTGTTCGCTTATCATAACAGATGCTATTACTTTCCCACTGAAGTGACACCTATTTATCTACTCACGTTTGCATGCTTTCGAACTGCTAGGTTGGCAGGAGCTGGGGCAAGAATGGGAGCTCACCCCGTCACGCGGCGCTTGCCGACAAGCCCAGTGTCTTGACTGCTCAGCGCTACATGATGTCATGCTGACCACAGGACCACGGATACGTCTTTGGACAGTGCTGACTCAATGGCCTCGAAATGGAGATGAGCACCACTCCCTATAGTCAGCAATGACTAGCAGAGTAAAAAGGGACTCCTTTACTTTTACTTATCACACAAGATGAGCCGGGGAGGAAGGCTGGTCCTTAAACAGAACAGTGGGGTAATTTTCAAATAATGATAGCAGTAATAAGCTGATTGAGGGGTATGAATAATCGCTTGCATTCCTATTATGAGTGGAAGAAAATGTTCTCTCCTTTCACAAATGTTTAAGCTTTGCTGCTGTAAAATCACCTAATGCAAGATCAGATTTTTCTCTGGGCTGAAGCTCATACTGCGCATGCCAGTGATGTGCCACAGAAAGCAGTGTTTTTGCGGCACATAATTCATAACATTAAAGCTGTTTGATAACATGAATCCATCCCACCAAACTGTGAATTCCACTCCATATTCCTTTGTTGTTATTTATATTTAAGAGAGCGGTGCTGCAGATTACTCACCATGGAAATCATACTTTTGGCAAGTTACTTGTTCTAGTCCATGGAAAGTTAAGTGACAGGAAGAAATGTACCCCACCTGTGTAAACATTAATACTGAGCATTGCAAAATGTTCCTATTGTAGAAGAAAAAAAAATCATGGAGAATTCCTGGGGAAAAAAACCCAAAAGTTTAGATGGATCACTTAAAACTCATCAGCATTTCCCTTTATCTTTGAGCTACAACTTGCTTATTTACTCTTTTGTTTCACTATTATTATTTATTTCAGGAGAAAATGATAGCTGCTCAACAGATTAAAATCCTCGGTTTCAAATTAAATTAAACTAAGCAGTCAATTCATGAGCTTATTTCTTGTAGGCACACATTACATAAGGCATCACTTACTCTGGAATACTTCCCTGTAAACAAACTACTGGACGTTTCTTGCAAGCCGTCATGAGAAATGAAAATATAAAATATAAATCCTCTAGCGTCTGATCATAATGAATCTTTCAATTAAAAAGAAGTTCAAAACGTTGGGTGGGATTGGAGACCGCTTGACCGAGGAAGAACATGAAGTTTCTTTTCAAAATTCACCGTAGCTATTGGTACCGCTGATGCTTTGTTTCCATTTTGGAATCATCAAAGTTTTATCAGTGCATCACTTATTCTTTGAATCAACTTAAGCTTTTGATGTCCTTGCTTCATTCTTTTTGGCCATATAAAAATTTCTTTGCCCATTAGAGGAGAAAAGCACCCTTGCAAGTTGACCCAGGCAGCCACAGTGAAGAATCAAACAATGATATCAGCCTTCCAGATTTACATTTGTAGGAATCCTTTTCTGTCTTGTGTCATATACCTATAGCAGGCATCATCAGTGCAAAAGCTGCGGGGGAGGCACTGAATGCCCAAGAAAAGACAATTGCCTGATGTCAGCCGTGAAGTCTGTTTTACAGTCTTAGTCCAAAATATCTGTTTCAAATGGAACCAGATGATAGTATGACAAGTTGGTGACATAAGCTGTTGGGTCATCAGTGTCCTGCAACTCAGAGGTAAATTCACTAACATTTTCAAACCTAAAAATGGACAAAACAAAGAACTGTCATTCATACTTGGACATACAATAAAGAAGATACTGACACAAAAGGAGACATGGGTTTATATTGTTTATATTTTCTACGTTGTAACACCACCACCACCAAGATAATAGCCTGAGGTGGACACTATAAGCAGGGGTGGGATTCAAATTTTTTAACAATCAGTTCTGTGGGCGTGGCTTAGTTGGTGGGCATGGCTTGGTGGTCATGTTACTGGTTGGGCGTGGCCAGCTCAACATCACTCACATCGAGGCACGTATCTCCTCGACTGGCCTCTCGCGACTGTGGGGGTGCTGCAACAGTTGTAAGTGTGAAAAATGCTCATAAGTCACTTTTTTCAGTGCCATTGTAACTTTGAATGGTCATTCCACACAAACAAAGTACCAGCAAAGGAGGGGAAAAAACTCCAGAGACATTCCTTAGACAGGAAGTCTAGTCCTACCAAGAATGTAATAAGGGTTAACAGAGAGGCAGCTTCTGTAAGCAACACCAGAATGTTTCCTTCCTGCCTTCCTTACAGGATTAGGCCAGTAATTTCTTCTAACAGCCGGTTCTCCAAACTGCTTAGAGTGTTAACAACCGGTTCTAGCAAATAGGTGCGAATTGGTAGAATCCCACCTCTGACTATAAGTCATTAGCCCAGCCAGAATTTGGGGAATTCACACGACTGGTCAAATTTATCTGTCTTTTCAAAAAGATTATCCAGTCTGAGCAATCTACAAGAGCACCTGTACAGATACCGCTGGCCTATGGAATTTGAACACCTTGATCTTGAATGCAAATAAACTTGCCTGACCTTTGCTGTCTGCTCTGCACCTTGTTTCCTGCCTGATTGGAATGATGCCATTCTTTCTATCTCTTTCAAAAGATTTATGTGGAAGGATTCCAATTCAAAGTGGCAGAGTGGGCTCTTCCTTAAAAGAGATTAACTGGATCTGTGAGATGATCATAGATCCAATCAACAAACAGCTACAAGAACATAACTAAATCTAGGGCTCCATTTAATCAGAGATTCCTTAAACATGTTCTTCCAAGTCAAGAGTTGGCATTTGTAATTACCATTCCACCTGATTCCCCTTCCCATGGTACAAACACCAAGCAGTATGCCAACTTGCAAAATCCTAGAATAAATAATTGAAAAGCAATAACAGTGATACCTTTGAAACCAAAAGTTTTCATTTTTAAAACTCTGTTCTTCAAGGAAGAGATGCAACCAATAAAGGGTTTGCTCTACTCTTACATTCATCAGAGCTAGTTGGTCACACCTAGAGTACTGCATTCAGTTTTGTTCACCACATTATAAAAAAAGGTGTTGAGACTCTAAAAAAAGTACAGAGAAGAGCAACTAGGATGATTAGGGGACTGGAGGCTAAAACATACAATGAACGGTGCAGGAACTGGTCTTGGCTAGTCTAGTAAAGAGAAGGATCAGGGGAGACATGATAGCAGTCTTCCAATATTTGAGGGGCTGCCACAGGGAGGAAGAGGTCAAGCTATTTTCTAAAGCGCCTGTAGGCCAGACAAGGAATAATGGATGGAAACTGAACAAGGAGAGATTTAACCTGGAAATGAGGAGAAACTTTCTGACAGTGAGAACAATCAACCAATGGAACAATTTGCCCTCGGAAGTTGTGGGAGCGCCATCACTTGAGACTTTCAAGAAGAGATTGGACTGCCATCTGTCAGAAATGGTGTAGGGTCTCCTGCTTGAGCAGGGGGTTGGACTAGATGACCTTCCAACTCTGATTACCCGTTATCTGTTATTTGCAGCCATCATCTTCCGAAAATGGAGTAACAACTGCCTTGGAATATTGCTCAAGTTGTTTCACTATTGCACTACATTTCACATGGTAACTCACTATTTTTAAGCCACTCACAAACCACAATTTTGCAATCTGCAAGGGTTTCTTCAAATGATGCAACCGATGAATCACAAAGAAATCTTCTATTCTGAGCATATGCATTTTAATTTACAGATCATTATGACAAAGTTTTATCTATACATTAGGAGGCTCCATTGTATTATAAACTAGAGTAAAGAATGAAGGAAAGAAGTTAGCTAGAAAGCACTTGAGCAATGAGTGATACATCTGAAGCCCATTTCACTCTAAAAAGCTTTTGGCAGCTGCTTTGAAGACCTTTGTGCTTGGCAGAACTCAATGAAATTTTTAACTTTTTTTTAATTTCTGAAAATAAAGATGGCATTTCTTTGATCATTGGCTTTTGCAGCATTGAAGTACAAATACTGCACCAGGGATGAGGTTTTATTCCAGGGTAAATTTATTCAAATACAAAGCTTCTTGACAATGGTATATCAGCCATAGTAACAACTTGGTTAACTTGTTCTCGATGGATCAAGCTTTGCAAATGCCCAGATTGGTATCACAAACTGATTACTAAATAGCCTGTTGACCTGGACTTGTTGAACGGCAGAAGCCCTCCACAACCAGTTTTTCAGGAAACCTTGATATATTTTTTTAACCACCTTGAGCAGGGGCCATGCTAATCTTCTCTGTATCGTTCCAATTTTAGTATATGTGCTGCTGAAGTGAGCATGGGTGGTTGTATTTTTATAGAACGGTATTTTAAATATTTTTCAAATAAAAACATGTCAGAGAGTACACGGGGTGCAGTAAACTGGTCTCCATTTCAGTCATGGGTGGCTGAGGTTTACACCGTAGATGAAAAGGATATAAATTTGTGTGCTCTGCCCCAAATCTCTTTTTTTTAACGCTTTCCATAAGATTCATGATTCACGTATTTACATAGGTTGTTTACTGGATAATGGTTCATCTGCACATTTTCTGACTCGTGATTTTACTATGGACGGATTATAACCTGAATTTTATGTGCAAGTGGATCATTTCAAACTATCCTAACTGCAGCAACAATACTCTGTATAGATAAAGGCACAAAGGGGAGAGACTGCCACCTATTGAATGAAAAACAGCTTTTTTTTGAAGGACTTGTATTGAGTTTATCTGCTTCCTCTTTAATCAAAAACCAAAGCATGATCCTTTCACAAGTTTGAAAGTTCATCCGTGTGGAGAAATATAGTCGGTATGTTATTCAATCCTGTCTTTAGATTAAATGCACAGAAGTAAAAATGGCACTATTATAGTTTGGGATATGTAAAATGATTGAACAAATTGACACAGGATCTGTTAAAATAGCTACACACACACACACACACACACACACACACACACACACACAGATTCATGAGCCTATGGCTATATAACATACCTAGCATAATGTTTGGTCCTTGGTAACATTTTTTTGTGGTTAGTATTTTTTCTTATTCTGCCACCCTCTTCAAGACTCCATTTTTTACATTCTAAATGTTTGTAGAGATTCTCAGTCATCCAGGTCATGGCTGTCCCAAAGGTGCTTTTTGCAGGAGGCAACTGGACTTTCTTATCCAGTAGTAGGATGGATTTCCAGAGGAAAAATATTGCAGACTGCAGGGACAGGTGACCCTGAGGATACCGATAAACCTCCAAGTGCTTCAAGGACCCTCTAAAAGGATGCAAATGACCAGCTGTCTGCAAGGAAGATAAAGTCTTCCATTCCCCACTATCCTGTCAGAGCTGAAGAAGTTTCTTGAATGAGAAGAGAAACGTCTTCAAAGGAAAAAATAAGAAAATCCAGTTGCCTCCTGAAAAAAAGGAGCTTTGGTACACTCCAAATATTTAAACTCTTGTAAAATTCTGGCAGGGACACATTCATCACCTGCCACAATAGAATTACCCAGGATTTTTCTGTGACACAACTCAGACTGCCGTCATGTTATCCACAAAGATTGTATCTAGCTGAGCTAACTACTAACCCATAAAACCAGCTCTAGGCATGATAAAGATAATCTAGAGACAGAAGAGAAAATAACTGCAGGCAACTGCAGCTCCAATTCTGCATTGGTAACATGGTCTCTAATTCCCTTAAGTGATGGTGGGCAGGGAAGGAAGCGCCAATTCACCTTTGCTCTTAAAACAAGCAAAACTAGTGCAATATTTAATGCAGAGCAACCAAGGAAAAATGCCTTAGAAATGACTTAGAAATATTTTTTGGGAGAAAAAAGAAACAAGCCCTGAAATGGAGGCTTGTAAGGGTGGAAGGAGGTCTCACTGAGACAGGTAGTCCCCAACTTACGACCATAATTTGAGCCCAACCTTTATGTCATTAAGCAAGACGTTTAAGTGAGTTTTGCCCCATTTTACAATTTTTCTTGTCACAGTTACGCTGTGGTCGCTACGTTAGTGACACGGTTGTTAAGTGAAACTGGCTTTCCCATTGATTGGGCTTGCCAGAAAGCCTCAAAAGGTGGATCATATGATCCCAGGATGCTGTGACTGTCATAAATACGAATCAATTGCCAAGCCTCTGAATTTTGATCATGGGACCATGGGGATAGTGCAATGGTCTTAAGTGACAAAAACGGTCCTAAGTCCCTGTTTTCAGTGCTGTCATAACTTTGAACGGTCGTTAAGTGAACTGTTGTAAGTCAAGGACTCCCTGTATTCACCAGGTTTATAAAGACTACTTTTGAGCTTTAATGGATGCGCTCCCTGACCCCTTTGAATGGGAAAGGATGGGCGACTGAGAACGTATCTGAGCTGCAAGGAATGCATTGGCCTCTGATCCTATTTAGTCTACAATACAAAGAAGTGGCAATACGCTATCTTCCTCCTCCCTATCAGGAGTTCAATATTCTTTTTTCTCAATTACACTCAACATGGGGGAGAAAAAAGACGTGTGGTTTTATACCTACAGGAGAGGGTGTATATCCAGGGATGACGATTACTTACAAGTGTTCTGCTGAATCGGCATCACAGTGTCTTTCTTTGCCGTTCGGTATACTGTGATCAATCACTATCGTTTCAGTATTAGCTAAACAAAATCCGTTCGAACGCATGATTTCTGAAGAAAAAGAAAAGCGAAACATTACAAACCTGAACTATATTTCTAAACAGGTACATGCTTAAAGGTAAGTATAGCCTCCTATTTCAAGGTGTGCGGTCTAGGGAATTTACAGGATTGCTATTAAAACAGTCAGGAAATCCCAATTTCCTGATGTTTACTCAGAAGTTAAGTTCCTCCAAGGAAGACAATAATAAGGTGGCTTTTCTGTACAATTAAAAAAAAACCCCACAAACATAATCCTTGAAAATACAACCATAATACAGACATTCTTTAATGAAGGATGAGAGGGAGAAGAAGAAACTATTGTACTTCTAAACCCTGTTTATACAGTTTGATGGCAAGCAGCACTGAAGCTGGCAGTGTTCCTGAAGCCTAGAAAATACTCAGTAGTATGTCTCTTGGGGTTGGCAGTTACTACAAAAAAATTAGGCAGGATTTTTTTTACGATTGCAAGCAGATATTAAATGGATCTCTTCTGGCGGCGGTGAAGTTTGGCAATGATAGAAAACAATAGCAGGGATGCATAAGGCTGCTTGGAAGGCCCCACATAGCCTACAAGAGGAATATTGTGCAGATCTGCTCTGAACTTCCTTGTGCCTCTCTTTGGGAGTGACATAATGTCTGAAACACTGAGGGGAGTTCATCAGAGTTTCTTTTATATGAACTGAATGATCAAGGTTTGAGAGCAAAAAAATATTCGTACCTCCAAGAATCAAGGGATCATCCCTCTGCAATTTTGATATGTGATTGAATTATTAATTAAATAAATTTTAAAACAATATTTAATTTTGTTAGAATTTGAGGCCTACAAAACAAGCGTGTTATTTTCCCATGTTCAGTCTGAAACATTATAAGGTAAAGGTAAAGGTTCCCTTCACACATACGTGCTAGTCATTCCTGACTCTAGGGGGCAGTGCTCATCTCCATTACAGAGCCAAAGAGCCAGCGCTGTCCAAAGATGTCTCCGTGGTCACGTCGCCGGCATGACCAAACGCCAAAGGCACACAGAACACTGTTACCTTCTCACCAAAGTGGTCCCTATTTTACTACTTGCATTTTTACATGCTTTCAAACTACTAGGTTGGCAAAAGCTGGGAGAAGTAATGGGAGCTCACTCCGCTACCCAGTGCTAGGGATTCAAACCGCCAAACTGCCGATCTTTCTGATCGACAAACTCAGCGTCTTAGCCACTGAGCCACTGCATCCCTCTGAAATGTTATAGACTAAAGTATTAATCTCCATCATGAATTTGTTTTTCCAAGTTCCGAAATAATTTTCTAGAAGTATGATAAATGTTAATCCAGAACGCATGTATTCCTTAATAATTTCCAAATCCCATTATATACACAAACACAGTGCACATATGTGAATGCACACATACACACAAACACTCTTTCTTTCTTTCTTTCTTTCTTTCTTTCTTTCTTTCTTTCTTTCTTTCTTTCTTTCTTTCTTCCTTCCTTCCTTCCTTCCTTCCTTCCTTCCTTCCTTCCTTCCTTTCTTTCTGGAATTGAGGACAGGTGCCCCACCAAAGCTTTTCCATTCTATAACCTTTTCTGCGATTCTCTAGGATCTCTATGACTTTTTAATTTTAATGGTTTTGTCTTGGACAGCAATAATCAGGGAATGAAGAGTTTTCAACCTTCAGTTGGTGTGAGGCTAAAGTTCTCCTGAACTGAACAAAATTTTGCCAAGTAATCTCTGCCTTCAGGAACTGTTTTCCAATGGGAAAATAACATAGAAAGGACTCTTGTATCTTACATCTCAGGGTTTGGTTTTGTACCAAAACAATAGAGATTTTTCTCTAATTATAGAAAAACTTTCAGAATCAGAAATGTTTATCCGTGAATCCCAAAGTTTTTCCTCACTATTTCTAGATGATCTGAATATGTAAGGCATAACTAAACTTTCTTTATGTATTCTTCATATCTAATGCTTAAACATATAGATGCTTCTTGTATCAGTTCCAACCTTGTTTCCTCTATTCCCCACACCAGGAAATGCAGTTAAACATGATTTAGTGCAAGAAGGAAAGAAAAGAAAAGTCACAGCCTTATTCTTCTCCTTCCTTTTCAGGCTGGAGAGAGGCTTTTCTTTAACTGAACATAAAATCACATCCTTTTCACTCTTCTGATGATGCAAGTAGCCCAAGCAAACAAGCTAAACAGATCCAAAGTAAAATATGACCGGAAGGCCTTTTTTTTTTCCTGTTCTCCCTAACCCTTCTATTGTAAAATTAAATATTATTTTGTTGCATACCATCTGTTCTAGCAAACCTACCAGATACATTTGCCCTGCAATATTCTAAATTCAACAGCATATCAAGAGAGAACAAAGGACATTTTTTTATTTCTCCATTCATTGCCAAAAAAAACCAAATGGGGAAAAAATCTTACCTGCGTGTATGCCTTAAATAGTACACAAAGTGTGCCATAAATAGATATAATGAATATATTTATATTTTATCCTTTCTATTCTGCAATAATCAAGGACACATTATTTTCCTTTATGCACAGACCTAAAAACACTGTTCAATATTATGTTTCAGCTCACAAATTATGCTTCAGATTACGCTAGCCTTCCCAACCAAGTAACCCTTCAAATAGGAGGAATTTATTTCAGAGATCTCGACAATGGTCACAACTGCTAAGAATTCTAGATGTTGAATTCAACATATGACTGGAGGCTGCCCAAGTCAGGAATGTTGCATAAGGCTGTTTGTGTGACCCTTGTGCTGATGGTACACAATTATTCAGTCACTTCCAACTCTTCCTAACCCCAAAGACATCACTTTCAAAAGATTGTTGGGAACTGCTTGCGTTTTCTTACTTTTTATTTATTTTATAGATACTTGAAAGTGTAACAAGGAACAAAAAAGAGTCAAGAAGAATAAAAGAGAAGAAAAGTAATAGAAAAGAGATTTGCAAACTGTATAAAACTGTGTAAGAGTTAACATTAGATTAGTACTGCATATAAAGGTGACTTTTAAAATCAATTTAGCACTTTAAAACCATTCTGAAAATCAAATCAATATTCAGTAGTAAAATAAGGCAGTCAATAGGATAAACATCATTGCCAGAATAAATAATTAATGGGTATTTATGTGTAATCCGAGAAAGCCTGCCCATATTATAATAAATAAAGCTTTACGTTAAGAGAGATACAACTTTAGGATGTGGCAGAAATGTATATTCACAATTATAATCTATAAATAGTTTCCAGGCTAAATTAAATTCAGTACTGTGTTATTAACTGCTTTTATGAGTTCTTGCAAGCTCATGCTTATGTTATTAGTGATAAAATCTAGCCATTTTCTCTACCAGCCACTTAACAGATAATCAGAGTTGGAAGGGACCCTGTAGGTCATCTAGTCCAACCCGCCGCCCAAGCGGGAGACCCTACAGCATTTCTGAAAAATGGCAGTCCAATCTCACTTCTTCATTTGTCTTTGATTTTTCAAACTTCGGTGCCTTGCAAGATTTTATATTGTTTGGCAGGCATTTCAGAAACTCCTGCAGCTTTGCTACTAACAACCTTTTCTAGAGCGGATTGGTCTCTATTTTCTGCGAACAAACCTTTGTGTGGGTACACAGCAGGGGTGGGTTTCTACCGGTTCTGTCCACCTCTGTAGAACCAGTAGCTCTGAAGAGCAGCAGACATAGAACCGGTTCTATGTCTGCTGATGTTTTTGCCCATCCGGGCTCTTACCTGATCTTTATTTCCTGATTTTTTCCAACTTCAGCTGCCGTGGGAGGCACAGCTGCAGTTAAAAAAGCAGGAAAAGAGGGCTGTTTCAAAGGCTGCTTCTCGGCATGCAGTGTGCTGATGATTTACAGGCACGCGGCTCGCAGCGTGCAGGGAAGCGCAACATAAATCACCGAGCCTCATAAATCCCAAACCGGTAGTTAACCCTGTCGTATCCCACCCCTGGTACATAGATGTATCTCCCTATCTCTTCTTGCTCTTTTCTGGAACTCAGCAATTAGGAAGGCACATTTTTCTGTGTTTGAGTTGCCCTATGTGCGCAACCATACAGATATACGAATTCTATGGCCATTTATTCCTAAGAACACAACTGTAAAACTGCAGCCTAAGTGTGATATCATTGATTCAACCTCACTCAGGGAAAGGGGTGACCTCAGCAAAAATCTGAATCAGATTTCACCTGCACAAAACTGTCAATTTCTTCAAACTAGAAGACCGATAATGAAGTGTAACATCATTTCGGCTTCCAAGATGTTGATATGTGTAGTTTAGTTTCTTACATTTTAATAACCAATATCAATAATTAAGGCTGTAGTGGTAAAAGAATGTTCAAAGAGGGAACAAGTCTAAAGTGAGTAATTATAGCCGGTTCATCTAATGAATAATCCAAGGCTATTCTGGGCATTCTCATCCTTCTTTTTTATGCAGAAGACTACCTTGCCATCAAAACCTTTTGCAGACAAAAATGTAATCCAGCAGTTACTATTGCAATACCTGCTGCACAAGTAGCATCCCACTAATAATGTCCATAGAAACCCAAAATGAATACTACTGGATTTGGGGAAGGGGGAAGAGAATGTAAGCATGAAAACAGTTAAAATTTTCTGAGATTATAAAATCTCATGTGATTGAATAATTTCATAAAACTGAATATTTTTTTAAAAACACCATAAATTATTCTTATACTCCACTAGTTCATACTGATTTTGTATTGAGATGAATCACAATTCCTAATATTATCTAATGCAGCTTAAAAGCAAACCACTAAACCTTACCAGATATTTTAACTGGACTCTGGAAACTTGGTTGGATTTTATGGACGTTGTCGTTTTTTAACACTTGATCTAAAGGAGACCTTTCGAAAAAGGTGAGGACAACTTCAGATCTGGAATACTGAAAAAATGAAATTAACAAAGACAATTATAATCACGGGAGGAGGTAAAATAACATTTGAGGCATATTGTACGCGTCCAACTTGAAGCTCCTTTGTTCAATCCTTAGCGCTTGCAGATAGGACCAAGAAAGATTTCTGCCTGAAACTCTACAGGTTGCAGATCAACCTTCTGGTGATGACCTTCACACTAGCTAGGAACGCTGCAAGTTGTAGTTCCAACAAATATAAAAATTGTGAAAATTTGAAGTGGGTAATGAGCTTGACAGAAAGTAGACCATCTATAGATCTGCATACTGTACCATATGTAACAGCTATATTGCACTGCTAAAATTCAGCAGTAAGCTATTGTTAAGTGGCTTTTTGAATATTTTTAGTTTTAGCAGAAAACAAGTAAAAAAAGTCACTTGTGATTAGGTTTTATCCACCTAGAATATCTACACTCATAAACCACAAACAACCAAGAATTTAACTGTTTGGTTTGGTGGCAGCAGTGCCCCAGATAGAAAGTCCATACAGAGAGTGGTAAGGACAGCCAAGAAGATTATAGGAAGCTCACTTTCCGTTATTCAAGATACCGCTTATAAGCACTGTGTGCTTAGAGCTCAAAGAATTGTTAGAGACCCCAGACACCCACTTCCCAGTCTGTTTCTGCTGCTCCCCTCTGGGAGGAGGTTTCGAAGTATTTCTAGCAGGCCTTCCAGATTCTGTAACAGCTTTGTTCCCCATGCCCTCCGTCTGGTAAACTCACAAGATTCGTTTTTCTCACCATGTACATGTATACATCCGAACTAGACTGCGTTGTTTTTCTGTGTCATATAACATAGGTGGGTATATACATAATTTTGTATTCATTTATTTATTTATTCATGTTCATGTAGTGTATATTGGAGGTGCCCTTTGAGAGCTGTATGCAATGAAACTTCATCTTTAATGTATGCCAATTAGTGTATATTCAAAGTGACAATAAAGTTATTATTCTATTCTATTATTATTCTTATATTAAAATTCTCAACCAACCCATGTTGGCGACATCTTTTCCTTATTACCCTAATACAGGCCTTGGATATTCCCTTAAAAAGTACAATACTTGGACTCTTCCAAAGGGAAGGCTATCTGCCTCTCCGCTGTACAACCTAATGGTCTAGTCTTTGTATCAGGAGGACTTTCACACACAGAAAATACTTTACAGGTTATCCTTGTTTAATGATCACTAGTTCAGCAACTGTTTGAAGTTGTAACAGCACTGAATGAGTGGTAATTACAACCAGACTTCAAACTTACAACCCGCTGCAGCAACTTCACAGTTCATGTGATTGCAATTCGGATGTTTGGCTACCGGCATGCATTTATGATGTTTGCAGCATCCTAAGGTCACAAGACTTGTGATCTGCAACTCTCCTTGCCAGTTTCACACCAGCAAAGTCAATGGGGAAATTGGCAAGAAGTTGGAAGTCACAGTCAAATGAGGTCCTTCCTTAATATTTGCAACTGGCAACCGTGGGACTGCTGTTTCTGAACAGCACAGTCACGTGGTTTTCAACTTATGATCACATCACTTAACAAGAAGTTTCTGGTCCCAATTAGCATTGTTGCGTGACCTGTGTTGAATTATGCCTTGCTTGTGAAGCAGCTCCAATTCTTTAAAATAACCTGACAAATATAAACCCTGGACAACACATGCAATATTTCTCTAATTGGCTCATAATACTTCTTTAGATTTCTTTTTTCTAGTAGTACATGTACTAAAAAGTCTCATAGTCCAACAAATTATGCCTTCTAGTCTACAGCTACATGAAGATTCATTCCCAGGGTATTGTCTAGCCCTTAAAAAAAAATCACAAAAAGGCAGTTGCAAAATAGTCAGATTGATAACATTCAATAGCCACGGCAGGGGAAATAAGTTGGGAAAGACAGGCCTTAGGGCACACCAATTCCCAAGAAGAAGAGTAACATTTGTATTTCCTCAAATCAACCACAACACCTTGGGAAGTGCTCAACTCTAAGGCCTTTAGAGATAAAAAAAGGGAGTGATTTCCCTTTCCCTCAAGGCTAGGGTGCCTTCAGATGGGAGCTGGAAACATCTCCTGATGTTCCCTTGCTGTACCTCTTTGGTCTGAGGAACAAGGGCATGTTCATTGGATCCTCTGTGGACCTTCTGGGATGGGGCAGAATGAGAATTGCAGGCGTAGCTGTGAGATGGGAGAAGGGCAAGTCAGTCCACTAGGTATAAAGCAGAAAAGAGAAAAAAGGAGGTGGGGAGGGAAGGCTGGATACCAAAATATTCAGTTGAGGAAGAATTGGGCAATTCTTGTCCTCCAGAATGAATTATGATCCTATCTATCTTTTCCTAAGAGTAAATCCCAGGGAACCACTTGTTTTCTAATTTGGACAACAAATTAGTGCCCGTCACAGATATTAATCATTTTAGCAGTAATTAACTGTGGTACTCTTTTCCTCATTCAGGATGAATAAATCCTCAAATGTTACCCTAAAGAGAAATGTTTCTGCTATAAGTTTCTCTACATCCCTCACAGGAAAAATATTATACATGGGATGTTCAAGGCTATGATCCAATCAAAGCTTCCTTGGAGAAACTTCATTAAACTCAAGGATACTCAATACTCAATTCTACTACACTGAATGAATTGGTGACAGCTTCACTTTCTGATACTTCTTATATATGCAGAGTGGGTTTTTTGGAGGTGGGATGTCACAATGTACAGGAAGGGAAGTTTATCTCTCTCAGCCAGGCCCCCACACCAATAAATTATCTCACTACTGCAGCTAGGAAAATTATTTTAAAATAGAATGAATGGTATTTTCTCTGAAATTATCCTTGTTCAGGGGGAAATTCTGGTTCCTTCCAAAATTACCCATAGAATTCAAAGAATAAGTAAATGAAAGATAAAACTGGGATGTGCAGCTTGGCCTGTACTTCAAAACTGATGTTTTGTACAGCATTAACTAGGATCTTGGAATTGAAAAGGACCTTGGAATACTCATCTCTAATGATCTAAGTGCTAGAGCCCACTATAACTACATAGCCAAAAAGGCATTAAGAGTTGTTAACCTAATCCTACGTAGCTTTTTCTCTGGTAATATCACACTACTAACTAGAGCATAAAAAACATTTGCTAGACCAATGCTCGAATACAGCTCATCAGTCTGGAACCCATATTACATATCTGATATGTAATATCAGTTGATATTAGATACACTTGAGAAAGTCCGCAAATATTTCACAAGAAGAGTTCTCCACTCCTCTACTCGTTGTAGAATACCGTATGCCACCAGACTTGAAATTCTAGACCTAGAAAACCTTGAATTACGCCGTCTTTGGTCTGATCTAACTATGGTATATAAAGTCATACATTGTAAAGACTTACCTGTCAATTAATACTTCACCTTCAACCATAACAACACAAGAGCACACAATAGATACAAACTCAAGGTTAATCGCACCAAACTTGATTGCAGGAAATACGACTTCAGCAACAGAGTGGTCAATGTCTGGAATACTCTACCTGACTCTGTGGTTTTTTTTTCCCAAACGCCACAAACTTTAACCTTAGACTGTCTACTACTGACCTCTCCCCTTTCCTAAGAGGTCTGTAGGGGCGTGCCTAAGTGCACCAACGTGCCTACCGTCCCTGTCCTATTGTTTCTTTTATTTTTCTTATATGTACCCATTTCATGTCTTTATAACTACTTATACTTATTATCTTGTAAGCGATTGACAAATCAAAATAAAAAAAATCTCATGTGTATCTTCAACTCAAAGGAATGGAGTGAGGTGATCTTGCTCATGAAAAATAAAGCACCTTATTTCAATACCTGCAGTGAAAGCGTTTTGCTTTACCTCAACCACTTCACTTTGATGGAAATGGCTTCTCTGAAAGTGTAAAAGAAGGCAGAAACCGAGCAAGGGGGCTGTTGGAAGGCAGCTGTTCTCCTATGATACTTAGAAATGGGGCATCACTTTGATTTGCAGGGCTGCATGTCTCATGTAGAGCTGAATCCTCTAGCCCGGGGTGTCAAACTCAGGGCCCGGGGGGCCAGATCTGGCCTGTGGGGTGCTTAGATCTAGTCCGAGGGGCTACCCTAAAAATAGGGAAGGACCGGCCCGCAATGCCTCTGCCAGCAAAAACAGAGCTCAGGAGGGCCGTGCATGCCCTCCTCAAGTTCTGTTTTCGCTGGCAGAAGGTTGCAGGAAGCCATCACAGCTGAAAACGAAGCTCAGGAGGCCATTTTCACTGGAAGAGTGCTCGGGCCACCACAGGCACACCCCCCAGCAAAAGTGATGTCATGCTGGCCACACCCACTCTGGCCATGCCCACCCCAGCCCCCCAAAGTCAAATACAACCCTGATGCGGCCCTCAATGAAATCAAGCTTGACACCCCTGCTCTAGCTACACAACTTGACACTATAGGCCATGAAGCAGTGCTAGAGAAATCATTTCACTTTGTTTTGTGATATTTTCATCCCTAGAAAGGCAGAACAGAGAGAAGATGCCAAATGAGACTCCTTTAGGAAGATAGAGAGGAAGATCAAGATGTAAAAGTCTTTTGAGGAAAAGGGTTTGAGATCTCCATTGTTCTACCACAAGGTCTTGGCAGGTTTCCTATAACCCATAAGGCCTACTTTAAGGTTTACACCACAGTTTTAGTGTTAGCCTGTTATCTAGGCTAAAATGCAGCCATTTGTGGCTCTCTTCCAACCATAATTCTTAAGACTAACTTAGTAGACATTTTAAAATTTCTTCACAGGTTTTTCACATCTCCCAAGTAATAAAAATAGAACGATTGAAAAAAAAATCAACATTGACTAAACTTTCACTGAAATTTATCATTTTTCTTACTTACCTTCCAAGGCATATTTATAATATTCTTTAGAAGCTTCTCTACCTCGTTCAGCCTGGCTTCTATGTCATGAGACTCTTTAATTGTAATTAAGCCTAGAAAAAAAAGAGAAGAAAACCTTTAAGGAAGTATTCTGAGGGAAGCTACATTTTATTCTTGATTATACACATTTCGACCTGTATTTTATGTTCTCGATATATGAAAATATAGCTTCAGTGTGTAAGAATGAATGAGACAGAATAATTCCCACTAACACACCTAAAAGACGCATGAATAAGAAAACTTATCCATATGCTTTAACCCTTTGCCAAACCCAACATTGCTCCTAGCAATAACAGCTTAAAGAGAAAGCACCTTTGGGTTTTAATGCCCTCTTATCTCATACCTTGTAACGTGAATATAAGTCATATCATTGGCCAGAATATTCATCTACGTTTTAAAAAGCAGCAAGGAGAATTTAAAACTATCTGAAGCCTGAGCTTTATAGACTATAATAACGCAAATAACATACAATTGATCCTGAAGGTTAACTTTTTCCAGATGTTCATCTGGATCTCCCTGGGTTACACTTTCATCTTGAATGAAAAGACCTCCCTCTGTAAACCCCCAATGCTGATCTACCAGAAGAAAAGAATAATTTAAGACTTTCCATCAGCCTGTATGTCATGCTTTTATGAATGAATGATTGTGTGGAAAACACATTGCCTCCCTCTTGTTATTGAGGAAGCAAATGAATCGGATGCCTTGACCCTTACTGCAACTGACTACAAAACTGCTGTATCCTGACAAGCTCAATCCTAACAACTGATTTTTTCCCCCTTAATTTGCTAATTTCCTTGTGTCTGACATCTCAGCAGAAGGCGATACTGGGCTGACCTCAGAATTACCTCAGAGGCTGAGTTGGTTGGGCCTGGTTGGTACTCGGACAAAAGACTATCAAGAAATATCAGAATTGTAGGCCAGAATGGCAAGTTGGAAAAAAACAGAGAGCGGCACGCTCATTTCCATATTCTCACCGGAAAAGCAACACAAATGTGCTGTGTCAAGGAGTCAAGACTTTTATGAAATCTTTGCACTTATATTTGTCAGTTCAAATCATTTCCATTCCTTCCCCAGAAGTAAGAGGAGTGGTTGTGCAGCAAGTAATTAGTTTGGGTTTTCTGGTTCTACAGGATCTAACAGGGCACACAAGCATGATTGCGTCGGTTTTCTCCATTCTAGTTCTATCTCTGCCTTTCGTATCTCACCACATATTTCTTGCTTTTACATCGTTTTAACTTGGGAATGCCAAAATAGGGTATGGGAGAGGACAAACAAACTGGTCTAAAAAAAAAAACGCTCAGGTCAATCCTGGAAATCAGATTTACTAGATTCATGTTGCATTGCCGTTATTCATGGATGTTTTCCCTATTGGCAGATAATGTGCTGAAGAATGAGGGCAGCCAAGCCAAAAGAACAATCATCTTACTTTTTGCAAGTGGCACACTCACAAATCAGGACATCATTATTAGTGGCGCATTCAAAAAGATGCAATAAAAAGCACATTGGAAAGTGAGGTAACAACTTTTATACCAATATTGATTGGATTGATTCAGTGATAATGTTATGGTGGGGAAAGCACATATTCTCATTGCAATAGTATTATTTTTTATTATTATTAAATTTACTGGCCACCTATCTCACCATGTGGGCCACTCTAGGACACTTGCAGCAATTAAAAACGAAGAAATAAAAATGGAGTTTAAGCAAAGTGAAGGCAAACAATAGAGCAATAAAATAAAGAAAACAAAGAAAATACATTCACGTGACTAGTAAAAAAGATGAGAGAGTAGGGAGCAGAGAGCAGAAGGAAAGGTGGAGTCTGCTGTCAATCTAACAGCCACCTCCAGAATAGAATCCCCCCAAAGATAAATGCTTTGAATTTATCTGAAATCCTAAAGGTATTAAATATAGATATCCACAGAGACCACCCCATGTCAACCAACAGTTCCCCTTGGAGTAGATCTTCTAGGGCAGGAACCCTCTTACCATGCAATTGCTTAAAACATCCAGTGCAACCCAATTACTAAGTACGGACAGCAAACCTGGGTTACTCTATTCCAGAGGTCTCCAAACTTGGCAACTTTAAGACTATGCTGGCTGGAGAATTCTGGGAGGTGAAGTCCACAAGTCTTAAAGTTGCCAAGTTTGGAGACCTCTGCTCTACTCCAAGAAATCTGTACATTCAGGTTTACCGCATGCCCTACTGACGTCTAAGTGCAATAGTACACAGCCTTTCCCCTGGCTTACTAATTTCATCACAGTCAAATCAGTAAGATTTGTTTTGCACTATTTGTTTTTAACTTTTGTTGACACCTTGTTTTTTTGTATGAGCTTGCAAACTGACAGTCTTTCTAGGTATTTCCAAAAACTGATGTCCAGCTGTTAGTTTTCTAGGGCCATTTTTTTTTAAAGACTGGAACTTTAGCTTTTCTCTAATCTTCTGACATTTCTCCTGAACTCCAGGAATTCTCAAAGAGTCTAATCAGTGGTTCCAATATTATGTATTAATGTGTTAGGAACCAGCAGAGTACAGAACAGAATCAATGCCCCAGAGTAACCTCGTTATTTTACTTTCTGACAAATAAATATTTTATGATTGGTTAATTGCCTCCTTAATTCTTTTTGCTCATCATAGTTCTGTTCGCTCCTCTCATTGTGTACTCCAGTGGCCCCAACCTTTGGGGCATCAGGGACCGGTTCCGTGGAGAGATATTTCTGTGGACCTGAGGGAGAGTGGTTTCATGTGCTGCTTACATCCTTTGCTTCTTTGCGCGGCCTGGTTTCTCGCACGCCACAGACTGGTGCCGGCCAGTGGTGGGATTCAATTTTTTTTTACTACCGGTTCTGTGGGCGTGGCAGGGGAAGGATACTGTAAAATCTCCAGTCAGAGGTGGCATTTGCTGGTTCTCCAAACTGCTCAAAATTTCTGCTACCAGTTCTACTGGTCAGAACCTGCTGAATACCACCTCTGGTGCGGGCCCATGCACCGGGGGTTGAGAACCCCTGGTGTACTCTATTACAGGGGCCCCCAACCACCGGGCCCCAGACTGGTACCGGTCTGTAGATCATTTTGTACAGGGCCGCAAAGAATGAAAGTAGGGCCTACTTTGCTTGGGCACCACCATCTTGTTTCGACGGCGCTTGAGAAAGTGCTTCCGGGTGAGCTTGTCGGTCGTCGGTTGGAAAGCGGCGTTTGGGTGCTGAAGGAATCCTCGTGCCTTAGTTTCGTCGAAGGGGGGGCAGCTTCAAACGAAGAGCCGTCCCGATGGCGGTGGAGTCTCGCGTTACTCAGGAGGAGATTAAGAAAGAGCCCAAAAAGCCCATCGACTGCGAGAAGGTACAAAGGAGGAGTTGAAGGTGGCGGGGAGAAGCAGGGGACGGCTGGCCGGCCGGCCACTTGGCTCGCCTTGCCTTGGTCGTGCGTGCTGATGCCGGTACCGGTCTGTGGATCGGTCCGTGGATTGTACCGGTCCGTGGTACAAAAAAGGTTGGGGACCACTGCTCTATTATATAAGTTGTTTTTCCAACTTTAGAAAATCTCTGAATATGAGATCTTTCCACTGCAATTTGGTGAGTATCCAATAGAGGGAGCCATACCTCTACATATTGCTACTACTAAAATCTACTGCTACTCCAACATAGTAATTTCATTCTGTTAAATTCAGTGATTTTGTCAAATTACATGTGCACACGTGTCCGGGTAATTTACCCAGACGGAGAGACCTAAACTAGTAGACCATCTCTTAGTTACGTGTCTCCCCACTTAACTGAAGTGCATTCAGCAGAGAAGCCACCATCTAGCAATGCAAGATACCTTTTGAAGACTGACCTTTCAATAAAAAAAATATCAAGGAAAAAGGAAGATATGAGGAGAGGATGATCCTGCACAGAAAAACCTAATTGTTCAGCAGCTACTAGCTGGTTTGACAGTGCAAACAAAAGTGTAGAGGATTTTATGTGACGGAGAAGCATTTAATTCCAAAGCACATTCTTGAAGTTTGAAACAGCACAGCCAAGACACAGGCTTAAGGGTCTAAATATCAGAGATAAATCCAACATAAATCTTCCTCTTAATCAGATTTCCTGGTGATTTGGGTCTCCATGAGTTGACTTTGGCTTGAGCCACATTTAGATACTTGAGATAGTTCATAGAACATAGAATAACAGAGTTGGGAGGGACCTTTGGTGCTGCTTGCTATCATCTCCAGCTATTTATTTAGGTTATCGATATGGTTATTGGAAGTTAAAACCCACCCCGCCCTAGAAAAATGAAATATTTTAGCATATACTAAAAAGGAAGAATATTTCCCCTAGAAGTAGAAACTCAGAGAGGCAGAAACTCAGCCCCCTCCCCACCTTTGTTAATGGGCCATTAAGGCCTGGGCCAGTCTATTCTCCATAACAAAGATCTACCTCCTTAAGGCAGAGCCATTTAATCGCCCTTCATTGCACCACCCACCAAGCTTCAAACAAATTTAGCACACAAACAACCTATAAAGCTAGCTGTGATCTCTGACAGCAACCAATCAGGATATTCTTCCTGTGCCCCAGGAAGTGCAAAGCCAGAGAGGGTATAAAATCCAGGGACTCTCAACAACTCTTCCGTTTTTTTTTTCTTTCTTCACCCAAAAACTCCAAGGCATGTGGTCCTGTCCACCATTAAACCATCTTTCCAAACAGCCTCCATGTTTCCAGCGTCTTTCTCCCCACTTGGAACCAAACCCAGATGGACATTTTCTTCCAACAAAAGATATTCATTTTCTTTTGAAATTTATCCACAGGTGTGTATAATCCTGGAGAAAGATTCCATGACTTCTCATATATATATATTTGTTCCATGAGAATGGGCAAAATAATTTGCTTTGTTTTCTGGTGACCTGGGGCTAAAAAAGTTAAAATAGTGGTGGGGGATTTTAATAGTTAGGGGCTGCACTTAATACTGAGGGGAGGGAGACAAGAAATGCCTTGATGACACCCTCTATATTCATCATTACACTTTCCCTGCGCTTTCTTGTCTATGGAAAGGCATGAGCTTTGTTGGTTTGACCCTTGG